AATCTTTTCTGGAAATGGGAAAAAAACCAGCCCTCAAATTTCCTTTTAACCATCACTTTCATTTACTTCAAGAAAATAAATTGTTTTTATATACAGAAAATGGACAACTGACTGATAATCCATAAAAATATGGAAATTATAAGCTATATTATCACTGTTTCAAGAACAAAAGAACATGTTAACTTTGTTAGAAAAAGTTTTACTTCCTAATTGCCCTACTTCTTACTGCTAAAAAATAATAATCATAGATAAAGTCCTGCTTTCAATACCTACCATTAAAAGGTCTCCGGAAGATTTTAGCTTCTGTTTCTAGAATTCTCCTCACTGCTTTATGGATTTCTTTTCTGGCTTTGTACGTAATCCCTACAAGAGTATTTTTATATTACTGCAAGTCTGAAAGACAGTTCCCTCACACCACTTTTCATAAATGCATGGAAAAAGAGATACACACACATATACATATAGATATTATATAATTATCTCTCATACAGAGAACTATGTGTAGAAAGAACTATCTCAAAAAAAAGCAAATCAAAAAAGTCAGCAGCTTAAAATAAATTTGGTGACATTTCTTGGCAACAGACTTCAGGAAATGTAACTTTACTTGTTATGTAAGGGTGACTCCCAGAAACATTCTATTCTCTTAGAATTCTGTTTTAGAACTCAAAGAATTATGCGTCTTACCTTGATATTCACTTGGACTTAGAGAAGCTGTACGTACGTATACATAGGATTTAAGTTTTTCTTGATGTAGAGCTTGAGTATCGATTTTCAGTAACTTATTTAAGGACAGGACTTCATATGTAATGAACACAAAACTTCTTTAAAGAAAAGAAAACTGCATATGAATATCAATTAAAACAATATAATGAAAAAAAATAGCAATCATATGTGTATAAATCATCCAGATTTTACAAAATATGTAATAGTCTGAAGATTATTTTGAATTAGCAAAGTAGAGAAAAGGTTATAAAATACTTGAAATAAGTTATAACTATCAGAAATTCTGCTTCAAGACTATATTCTACCATGTCTAAGGTCCCCTAATATTATGACATTTTTTTTATAGATACACGTATTAAAATTTTAATTGTATCCAAAAGTTACATATATGCTCATGAGTTACAACTTACCCTAGTATAAGTGATCCAGTTAACTTTGCAATTTTTCCTTGAAAAAATCAAAACCAAGTGTCAAACAAAGTTGTGTGCATCACCTCAATATAAACAGCTACCATTCGATTATCAGACAGTAAGAATATCAACCATGAAGAACAAGCTTTGAAAAAAATTTCTATCACGCTCTAGCTTTCAAGAAATTATTAACCAAAATTTACAACTGTAGAAAACATTACTTGAGTCTGATTTCTTGCTCTCCTAAGCAAGATGATAAAACATGTATCCTGCCAGTGCTATTTACTTTGAATATTGCTACCTCTCAATTGCATCCATTGCTCAGCTACCAGAATCAACAATAAATTTTCCCTGCCTGTAAAACTCGCAGTGGTTTGGAACTCCAAATAATTTTAAGGGGTTAAGTTTTTCTTACATGTTGCAGCTATTTCTTCAATGCATATTATTATATGCAGGACTATGTATGTTCTTTGACAAGTGCTGCAGTCTCCATAAGAAAATACATTTTTAAAAATAATTGCATTGAATCTAACTTATAAAACAAACAGATAATAAATACATGCTACTTGCAACAATTTGCCTTTTAAACCTAATGATTCATTCCAGATTCCAGCTACTTTGAATCTACTTTAATCTACAAAGTTGATCTGATTATCTGGATATAGGGATCTTCATACAGAGAAACTCTTTATCATTTCCAGTAGCAGCAAACCCAATGGAACACATCTAACCTATCATAAATGATTTATTTTCGTCAGAATGAATTGGGAGATCTGCCCCTCAACCACTGCTACTAGCTTCCATCGTTGTGAGGCCATAAGAATTTTGCATGCAAACAAGAGGCAGCAGCTACATGTTGAAGAAATAACTGGCAGAGAAGTTTGAAAAAGAAAAACAATGCAATGCTTCCTGTAGAGCAGAAATTGAAATATCCTATCTTTAATGCTCAGAAAGAAATTCCAGAATTGTAAAAATTGTCATTATATGCCAAAGGCACCAACGAAAACAGAGACTAAGCAGAGCCTAAGTAAATAAGAAAAAAAAAAATAGGAAAGTGCTTTATTCACTGTTTATGAAAGTAACTATTTCATGGCTCTAGAGATTACTAAAAAAATCAGATACAAGTGGAATTGAAGATAGTTTAAGGAGATCACATTTAGTTAGGGAAAGGCCCTCATCAAGTGTTTGTATCTGTTCCTAGATAATCTGCTGGTGTCATATTACAAATCGCTATGCAAAGCAAGGTCAGAAACAGAGAGCAGGGACAAAAAGAAGCTTTTAATCACTAAGTGTTCAAGGGCTTAAAACTTAAGTATCATTTAATAATGCATGGTGTCATGCCATACCTTTTTATTAACGCTTTAGATCAATATGTAATGAACTGTACTTACTGATATCATTCCACGGTTTTTTTGTGGCTGAGCCAGAGGTTCCTATTTTTCTGTAGCAAAATACACAGTATGCAGCCACTGACATTCTGCATGAGGGGGGAAAGAAAAAAAAAGTAATGACTGATTTGAGAATTACAGCAGAAATCCTGTAGCATTTTTTATCTCTTTTTACAGCAAAGGTCATAATGGCAAAGGTCACAATAAACCATGTTTGTGTCATTTTGCTCCATATAAAGCACTCCAATTAAAGAACTCTATAAAATTCTCAATTTAATGGGCTGAATTTCAATTATAAGAAAAGTTTAAAGTAGTTTTTTTATCACTTATGTTACTGCTGATTTTAGTGACTAAGTATCTCCAATTAACTTCTCTGCTTCTAAGTTTTATTTCCTACTTAGTCATTCTTCCCTAAATACCAGTTCTAGCTCCATCAAGACATTACTTAATATGACATGGGCTTTAATACAACTCAGTAACCATCTGGCTTTAAAAGTTCACAATTTATTGTGTTGGCAAGTAAGTCTTTTATTTTGACTAACAAGGATTAAAGAACTACTTCATATAAACTAACACTTTTTGCATACACTGCAGAAGTAACATGAAACTCGTACCTTCGAAGTGAAATTTTAGTGTCTGTACTGATGCAATTATACTAAATGAAATATTGAGTTTGTGTTTATATGGATGTAAAATAACCACACCAGTATCTCTCACATACTAATCAAATTCTTGTCAAATTAGGTCTCTCTTACCACAATTACAATTAACTCAAAATGATAAAATGTCACATGTGTAAACCTGGTGTTGAAATATGGAAGCCTAATATTTTCCTGGAATGTAAGGTAATCTCTGCAGACCAAGAAAAGTGCTTATATCACTTTTATCATCAGTGTCCAACATCTCTAAACAAGGGGACTCCTTTTGTGTCCTTTCTTTAACATGTCTTCCCTCTTTTCTCGTTTCCCCAAATTGATTTTTCCCTTCTCTCTTGCGAGCGCTTGGGAGATTTTTGAAAAATGTCAGCATTACCCCAGCACTGTCACAATCACTGCAGACTACTTTTTGACTTCTGACATTTCAACATTGCTTATCCATTCACTGCAACAGCGTACACCACACAGTGAAACACAGCTTTAAGACTTTGATAATCAGTCCTCTAGAGACACCTCTCCTGCCTCCAAACTCTCTGTCTCATGTCAGTTTCTTTACTACCTTTATTCACACAATCACATTTACTCCTCTGTAACCACAGTCTGAAATAAACATGTGGTTCAGTGACAGCAGGTGCCACAATTACTAAAATTTAAAACATGCACCTGCAAACAGCAGGCCAAAGTGAGCACCGCTTCTCTGCCAGGAGCTTTTTTTCAGGTCCAAGGGCAAGCATCAAATCATCAAATGTTAAGGGTCTGGTATAGACCTCAAAGATCACCTAATCCCAACACTCCTGCCATGGGCAGGGGAACCTCCCACCAGACTATGTTGCTGACAGCCTTATCCAGCCTGGCCTTGAACACTTCCAAGCTTGCAGCATCCAGAGCCTTCTGAGAAATCTGTTCCAGTGTCTCACCACCTGCACAGTCAAGAACTTCTTTCAAAGTATCTAATCTAAATGTTTCCCCTTTTCGTACCCATTACTCCCAGTCCTATACTACAGTTCCTGATTAAATGTCCCTCTCCGACTTCCCTGTAGGACCCTTCAGGCCCTGGAAGGTTGCCGTAAGGTCTCCACACAACCTTCTCCTCTCTAACCTGAACTGCCCTAACTTCCTCAGTCTGTTTTCATAGGGAAAGTGCTCCAGTCCTCTTATCAACTTCGTGGCCCTTCTCTAGACTTGCTCTAGCAGCTCCGTGTCCTTCTGATGTTGGGGACTCCAGGTGAGGTCTCCCCAGGGCGGAGGAGGGGGGCAGAACCGCCTCCCCGGACCCGCTGGCCACGCTGCCCGGTTCAGCCGGTTCCTCTCGGGGCTGCGAGCGCACACTGCCGGCTCACGCTGAGCTTTTCACGCTCAGGGACATACAAATACAATGCAAAAGGACCCATTTCGCACCCTGTTTCACAGCTGGTCCAGGCATCTCCGAGCCCCGTCCCCTACCGGGGTGCGGTCCCCACCTACCGGCCTCGCGATTGCGCAACTGGGGCGTATTAAAAAACAAAAGCACCACCGCACACCCGACTTCAAGCAATGCAACACGTAAGCGGGTAAGGAGCCAGGTGGGGGCGGCTCTGTGCCTCTTTCCAACGGGGAGGAACAAAGCACCCGTTAATACCCTGAGCCCCGTGTCTCCCCATAACCCGTCCTGTACCGCCCGCCACCCCCCGGCCCGCGCCGGGGCCCCGCTCCCACCTTCCGCCTGCGCCGCCGCTCCCTGCGGCGGCCCTCGCGCACCGCGTGACGCCATCGCGCCGCCAGCAGCCCCAGCCAATCCGCGGGCGCTGCCGGAGGCCGGCGGGCGCGTGCGCGGGCGAGTCACTTCCGCCGGCCGGGAAGTGGCGGGGGAGAAGGACGGGTGTGAGGGAGCGGATTCAGCGGGAAACGCTCGGCCTGCGGAGGAGGTGAGGGACGGGACCGCATCCCCTGGGAACCTCCCTGTCAAGGCGGAGGTGACGGACGGGAGGGAGGGTTGGCATCCCTTGGGAACCCCTCTGAGCAAAGCGGAGGTGAAGGGCAGGACGGACCAGCAACTTCCCTGGGGATTAGGGTCGTCGTAAAGAGTCTTTGAGTTTAACCGAGTCGTCGTTTGTTTGATTTTGTTTGCTGGCGGTGTGTGGGGCGTGTTGTGCTTTCAGATTTCCCGTGGTCGCCAGTGCGAGCCAAAGCAGGGGTTGCTCTTGCCCACTCTCCAGCGCTCGTAAGGGAACCGGGAAGATGGTGAATGTTCTGAAAGGTGTTCTTGTTGAATGGTGAGTAACAGCATTTACTGGCTCTCCTTGCGTCGAAGACTGTGTTTCTTTAAACCTGGATCTAATCTAAGTAATTGAAGAGTCCAGACAAAAGGAATTGTTGTGGGGAATGGTGGTGCTGAACAAGCAGAGAAAAGTGCGGCCTTTGTGGGAAGAGAAGGCAATTGTAGATATTCTTAATTCCAAACTCCCCATTTTTCTTTTTAACAGACTGTTTTCCACTTATGCCTAAACTCTTTAAAGGAAACTGCATATGAGTATGGGGTAAAAATATGATTGCAAAAAAGTTAGCAATCACATTGTTATAAAAATCCAGGTTTTTCAAAATACATAATAGTCTGCAGATTATTTTAATTTAGCAAAGTAGAGAAAAGGATAGCAAATAATTAAAATAAGCATTAACTGAGAAATTATGCTTCAAAGCTATGTTCTGCCATGTCTGATGGTCTCCTAACATTGTCACATTTTTTGAAAGGCACACAAGTTTGAAATTTTAGCTGTATACATAAGTTATCTATGTGCTTGTCAGGTATGACTTACCCTAGTAAAAGCAATCCAGTTATCTTGACAGTTTTTCCTTGGAAATATTAGTTGCACCCTTTTGTTTTTTATGTTGCTTACAGACATAGTTTCTTGCTGTTGTTTGTGAACAAAGAATTTCTCTACTGATTCTTGAGGGAGAATTTAATTTCTCCTTTCCTGTCTTTTTTGTTATTTGTTTTTTTTTTTTAATCAGCTCTGGACCGAATTCCAGGCAATGCTAACATGAGGTTCTATTTGTAGATCATATTCGAAAGGAATGTGCTTGGAGTTTGTTAATGTCAGGTTTTGGTGTAGGTGCAATGTACCTGTTTTCATATAATCTCATCTCTGCACGAAGACTCAGGCCCCTGGCTACCTCCAAAATAAAAAGAAGCATCACTCAAGATGTGTGGGGTCATGGTATAGCATCATATGATGTGTGATATTTCTTCTGTATACTTAGTCTGTTAATATGTTTGCAATCTATAACTGCACAAAAACAGTTCAGTACTTCCAAAATGTTTTCTTCTAAACATTTAAATTTAATTTAGAAGGTGACATCATAACTGTTCAGTCAGAGTGTGAGAAATGTAATTCTTATATGAGCACTCTTCGTCTGTGCTATACTACTTTGAGTGAGATCTCTGTTCTCCTGTCTTTTGATTATCCTTATGCTTCAAGGAAACATTTTTATGAGGCTTTTGCTGAAATCAGAAATGTAAGTTCAGCCTTGCCTTATTTAGAGTTGAACTTTAGAGTTTGAGCTTTGGTTTGGGTTTTTTTCAAGCTGCCTTAGCAGCAGCAAATGGAAATGTTTCTCCTAATCAAGTAGCTGGTTCTACTCATTAGGCTTTATTACAATTTTATTTTTGTGTCTACAGGAATCAAAACTACTTGGGAAGAAACTACTTTTACTAAAGCTTCATAAATTGTATTTAAGTTGCGAGTGACCCTTGAAATTAATTTTAGTTTTCCTGAAATCTTTGGGAATATCTTCAAATGGTGTTTCTTCTGTTTGCAGCTGTAACTGTGAGGTGGGATCTGATGTGTGTTTGTCTCTATAGTGACCCAGCAATGAAGCAGTTTCTGCTCTACTTGGATGAGTCAAATGCTTTGGGAAAGAAGTTCATCATACAAGACCTGGATGAAACTCATGTCTTTGTATTAGCTGAGTTGGTCAACTTCCTCCAGGAGAGAGTGGGCGAGTTAATGGACCAGAACTCGTTTCCTATTACTCAGAAGTGAGAAAAAACAGAGAAATGAGATTACTGCAAGTTTTGGAACAGTGAATTTCAATAGTTTGGCTTGCTACTGTTTTAATAGATAACACTGTGGCATGTAAGTTCTACATAGAAGTGGCTACTATAGAAAATGCATCATTTTCATAGACAAAATAGTCTGGAATTGGATCTTGTTTCTCATTTTGAAAGAATGTGGTATCTTTATTAAAGTATTTAAAATTATACACTTGAGGAGTTCCCTTGAGAATTTTTGGTGCATGCTCTCTGGTTTTCCTTCAGATTTTTATCTTGCAATATGAGATGACCCAGAAAGTAGTGTTTCTGTATTGGAATGCTGTATGAGGTCCTCTGATGTGTTGTGTTCCTGTGTGTGATTGAATCTGATTATAGTGTGACTGACAGAAAGTAAAGAATGTCTGTTGCAGTATGATCTGTGCTTGATGGAACATCTCTAAGTTGGAGGCATGGTCAGGTACTGCTCTAACTTGCAAAGTTTTGTACAGCAGGATGAGAGTGTGTGTGACTGCTTTGTTGTGTTGTTTTGAGTTGTGAGTGTTGGGTTTTTTTTTTTGTTAAAACATGTTGAAAATGCCCCATACTCTTTGCCTATTTTTACCAAGGCTGTGCTTTCTGAGTTGTTCTGAGTTTGGGGAGTGGTGGTGGAAGTTTGGAGGGGAAGGAGGGATATGGGGGGATTGGGACAACAAAATCCATTGCCCTAGATCAGCATAAATTAATGGGGTAACAGAAATGGGAGACCAGTCCTATAGGTATAATTGCTTGTATTTTTTCACTGAAGCTGATAGTCAAAATAAGTTATGTGATCAGACTCCCATGCTCTACCTAACAAACAAGAAAGCTGGGTTTGGATTTTTGGTTATGGGGTTTTGTTTCTTCAGCTTACTTCTTTCTCCCATATTGCCTTTTGCTGCAAAGAAAAAAGCTTTGTATCGTCATGGTTTGGTTGTTTGTTTTTCTTTTACACTGTATTTGTAACTTTAACTCAGACACTGGCTTGGTTTTTCAGACCTATTCATGTACATCATGTAGTGATGCACCACTGGTGCTTGTTTCTCTTGTCCAGTAGATATCAGATTAATTGGTCGGTTTGTCCTTGTTTCTTGTTTGGATTGGTTTTGTGGTTTGCCATTTCTTTCCCCTCAGGAACAGGGAACCTTCAGGAGAAAGTTTCACTAGATGTTTTTAATCAAAAAGCTGTCCAAAGAAAGTTCTGTAGAATTGTGTATATTCAGGCTCACGTGGATGAGCAAATAGCCTTGTAAAATTTAACTTCATTTCATTTCTGGTACCTTCCCTTTTCTCTGACTTTATAGAACAATGAGTTGTTTAATCGCTTTCTTTCACAAGTGGGTGCTTCCCTGGTCATGTAGATTAAGAACCAGCTACACGTCTTTATCTGAAATAAGAAGTTTAAATCTTATTTATAAATGGTTTATGGTTCCTTACCTCTTTCTTGAGCTTGATCTCAAGAGACCTATCACACATTGCCCTCATAACTGTTCTTTTTGTGGAAGATTATTGGGGGCTCATTTAATGGAAAAGTAATCAGTAGTTTTAACATGGCATTATGGCTCAGTGCAATTTATTTAGAAGTGTCTGTTTCCTTTCTTTGGAATCCTAGTTTATTTTCCATCCAGATTCTGCTGAAAGATAAATAATTTATCATTCTCTCTTCAAATGACAGCATATGAAAAGTCATGTTTGGAATTCCACATGTTAAGCCTCTCTGTATTTAGCATGTCTACTGCTCCATTTCTATTGTGACTTTTCAGTCTATAATAAACTTCTTGCAGTTCTTGTCTTTTTCTCCTGGTTAATTGTACAGCTTTGCTGCTGCATGCATTTTGGCTTATGTTTACAGTTGATCAATTGCTTATATAATATAGAGGTATAGAAGTTCCAAACTGTATAAACTAAACAGGCATGCGTTCTTCTACTCTCTGCTCACAATTTAGTTTTTTTGAACAAACAAGTTCATGGATTTTAAGTTCTAAACCTGTCAATACTTTTGATACTTCCTGTACCCTAATAAGGCATAACCAATTCTGTGCTGGAAGAATAAACAAAAGATGTAAAGATGTAAGTTGATATCATCATATGTAGTCTAAAAGCTGAGTTCAGTGTAGTCCCTAGGGAAAAACAGATCTTGAATTAGGTAGTATTGTAAAGGAAGTCCAGTGAGGAAACTTAGAACTTGAGTATGTGTATGAATTAAAAAACAGAACAAAAAAACCAAGCAAGGGTTTCTGGGATTTGAATGAACTTGGACCTCTGAAAGGTTTTGATTGTTTTTAAATGCATGTAGTCCTGGAACTTACATGCTTCAAAAACAACAAGGAGAAAAATGGATATTAGTGTTTAAAATACCCATATATTTTGAGATAGCATTTTCACTTACAGATTTTAAGTGTTTGTGCATCAGGTGTGAGATGTTATTAGTGAGTACAGCTTGGAATGAAACACTGTGTGTTAAAGATACATTTTTAAAGGCTGGAAACATTTAAGAATTAAAGCTTTAGGAGATCTGTTTAAATACAGCCATGCTTTGGTAATAGAGTTGATAGGGTGGGAAAATCAGCTCTCATTGTATTTGGAATATTGTATGTTAATTTAATGTTTGTATCCGTAACTAAAAGTTCACTATTTTGCTAGTATCTAGCAAAGACCTATAGTGTTCTCAGGTCTTGCTTGAGCAGCAAAAATAGAGCTTGGATGACAGACTTGCTGCTGCTTGTAAAAGCACCAAATTTTATCTTGAAGGGCTTCCACTGCTCACTTTTTGCTTTCAGTTTGAGTTGAAAGCATTTTGTGTACTGGAAGAAGAGCATGGTAGTACGATTACATAAAAGACACTTGAACTTCATTTATTACTTGCTACTTGTTTATACTTAGATCTAAATAAGATTGCAAGTTCACTTGTTAGTATTTTGTGATGTAAACTTGCTCTTGTGTAGTTATTGTAACTTGAACATGCTCATAAATTCTTTTGTAAAACATGCAGAAGCTGAAGAGTGGTATTTGACAGATAAGAAAGATCTCTAAAGCAAGGTAAGAGTATTTGAATAAATCAAACAAAATGTTATGTGGGAAGAGAGGGATGAAAACTGAAAATGCAGCTTCCTAGTGAAATAAAGCAATAACATCTCATTTTTATTGAAGATTATACTGTTGGGCATTTTGGTTTTTTTGTTCCAAGCCTCAGATTTTGTAAAAAATCTGTTTATTAATGGCCTTCAAATAAAGCTCTGTAAAAGACAAGTCTAAGTGGTGTCACATATTTAGATAGTTTTATAAATTGTAGGATAAGCTAATTCTGGAGAGGGGGTTATTTTAGCATGGGGGTTGGCAGCACAATGAATATGACCCTGGTTGACCAGTATTGATAGGGGCTGTAATGCTTGGTTCACCTGTGACCAATGCCTGAGTCCCTCTTCCTTCTCTCTGGTACAACAACTAGCCCAGGAAGAATAATTGTCCAGTGCAGTAAAGGAGGAAATAACCAGCAATCACTAGAGAGAATGGATGTGTCCTCAAGAAAGGAAATAGAGATTGCTGTTGAAAGAAAATAGAGAATGCTTTAGGAAATTCTCCCATTTTACCTGAGAGAGCCAGACTGAGTGCATTTGACTCAGTAGCTAAACTGCCTGTGTTTCACAAAAAAGTAATAGTGGTTTTGTTTATTTGCTTAATGTACTTCTAATGGTAATTGGGGGATTTTGGGGGGGGTTGTTTTTGATTTTTGGTTTTTATTACCTAGTGGTGAGAACTAGACGGCTGTCTGATGCACTGTACTAAACCTCCTCCAAGTGCTGTTGTACATTAAAAAATCCTGTTTTACAGTCTTTCCAGGTTTGTAGGGTGCATTCAAAAGCATATCCTCTGATTCCCACTCTGCAGGGCCACCTCATGTGTGTGAGAACAATCCAGAGAACATGTATTTTATGCATTAACAAGATTGTTTACTGTGCATTGAAGATAATAGTATTTCATGGTGTCATTAAAATTACTTAAATTTAACCTTTCTTAGTTGGCATCTTCACTGTAAAAGTTCAGTCAACTCCTAGGCTGAGCTTACAAATGTCGGGCACTAAAAATCAGGTATGTAAATGTGTATACATAATTTGTATATCTGTATCTATATATCTCAACCACTCTTTAATCATATAAACCAAGACAGTCTGAGTCTTAAAATCAAACAGTAAGCCATTGAAGAAAACAGTAAGCTTTCATAATAAATTTTTTCTGCAGTTCCAAATTGCATATAAATTTCCACACTGACTCCTTGATTATCCCACAAATGATCCCACTGAAGCTGGTGGTTAATGTGAAATGAATCCATTACTCAATATGTTAGAATTGGGTATTTGTTTTGTAATTTAGACTGTGGCAAGGCCTATAAGTACTGTACAAAATCAAGGATTCAAAATAAGCTGAAGTTCACAGTGATGGAAGAAAAAATTTTTCCTAAACAAAATCATTATGTTTGGATTCATGACTTAGCAGCTAATCAGATATGTAAACAGTAGGATATGTGATAAAAATTTGATATGGACTTGGGTTTTTGTTTGGGGATTTTTTTCCTAAATGTGGAATATAAGTAATATTTTACTCATCTTTGTTTCATATAAAAAGATTTTCAGGACTGAAGAGCTGACAGTTTGAAGGCAGACCAGTAAGGGGAGCTCTTACCAATATTTTAAGCTGCTTTAAAAAAAAATCTTGCAGCCTGGGCAATGGTGGGCCAGAGGCTTACTGTGCTTTGGAACATCAGATATGCTTTCAGCTAGAGATGAGCATTCAGCTTCAAAGGGCCCTTCCAAAAAGATATTTGCCGTTGGAGATTTTGGAGTATTTTTAGCTCAGAAATTTCTTGGCTGTTTAGGTATCCAGTGTTTTCTCTCTAAGCGTAGGTACGTAGCTGTGTTACATTAAAATCATGGGTCTGAAATGTGGTCTTCCACCAGTGGTAGGTAAGGTAGATCTTACAAAAGTAGGTCTGTGTAACTCCACACCATACGCCTGCTTTAGAAGTTGCTCCATATTAAGTTACATAATTTTTAGTGAGGGTAAACCAAAAGAAGTCATTGTTGCTAAGAAATAAGATTTATGATTTTTTTTCCTCATAATACAAAATGCATTTGATTGTAGGGTACCTGTTCCTCAAATCATATGCATCATACTGTGTGGAAGATCATACAACATTCAATCTTACTGTATTTCACTCTGCACTGGGGATTTCTGCTTCTCTATCCCTACAGTGTTGCTCATAGTTCATGGAAATGAGACATACAGAAAGTTTTTCCGTCATTGGCCCCCAAATCAGTAGCTTTATTCATTTACACCTATGTAATGGTAAAATTCAGTACGTTCCCTAACCAAACAAAAAACTACAACACCTCCCAATTAAGTTTTAGTATGAGAGGCAAACTCCCCTAGGACTTTGAATATTAGGGATTGTATTTTTCATATAGACTGAAAAAGTAATTTTCTCACTTCTGATCCCTTCATACTAGAAAGAAGATTAAGACTGGAAACAGACTATAAAATTGCTGCCCAGTGAAAAAAAATTTGAAGTGAAAATTTTAGAACATACTGCTAGCTTTTAGCTTTTTGTGCTTGAGCAATTCTAGGTGTTAGTAACAAGAAATGCAGGGTTTCTGGAAGAAGTCTTCAGACTCATAATACCCATGCAGGAATCTGCTTGAACACACCGAAGAAAACCCATCCAACACCAACACTGACAGATAATTGATTAGCCACATAACTAGCCCCTCAGGAAAGTAATAGCGAGCAAAATTTCTGGATGATTACAGATTGAGGGAGTTGGCTGTCAGAGCTGTACAGCTGTTCATTTTTCTATTACAGAAAAGATGGACCCAGCTGTAAATCGCAGGGTGTGCAGAGCAATGGGTACCCCTGCAGCTGGGAAGATCTCACTTGCAGATGAGATAGTATGGCATGTTTCTGCAGTGTTGGCATAGCTCATACACTGTCAGCAGAGAGAGGTACGGACACCGAGCAAATCATCTCTCACCATTTCGTGTGTATCAAAGCTAGAGGGGTGAGATGGGAGGGCAAAAGAGAAAAAAGGCAGGAAAGAGGGGGAAGAGTATTTTAGGCTTGTAACTATTATTTCCTGTTAATTCTGAAATTGAACAAGATTAGAAGGAGCATAAGGATCAAAAAAATTTACTTGCAATTAACTATATCTTAATTGATTTACAAAAAGTTTTGTGTTTATCCAACCAGAGACCAAGCTTTCTTAATATTACACCCACTATTCCACTTTGCTCTATCCTGAATGGGACCACTTTTCTCTGTGGAATGATAGTGTAGTTTTACTTCCTTTTAATCTTTTCATTCTCCTACACTGGCAACTTTACTGTGTATAAGACATGCTTTGCATGTGTATCATATGGATATCATTAGATTTACAGGTTGCAGTGACTAGAGTTTCATCAGAAGTGAGTAACCCTGGAATGATGACCTTCCATATCATCAACCAGCTTGAAAGTAAAATATGAAAGAAAAATTTCTCTTCAGCTGTAAAATGAAGCATGCTATATTTGTTTTTACTTTTGGTCTAATCAGAGACTAATTTTGTCTTTTAATTTTAGAAAAGTTATAAAATCAGTGTAAAACTGAAGAAAAAAGAAGCCTGATTTCTTAATGAATATTTGAAATAATTACTGTTAAGCACAACCACATCAAAGCCAATGTAATAAAGGACTGTGACAGCTTTCAGTGTTGGTCAGGTTGCCTTTTGGGCAGAGGGAGCTGGAATAGCATTTGAGAGGGGCC